AGCTAGAGTTCAGGATAGACTTCATGGCTGGAAATCTAAATGCCTCTCTTTGGCTGGAAGAATCACTCTAGCAAAGAGTGTCATTTCGGCTATCCCTTGTTACCACATGCAGAATTCCTCCCTCCCAGTGCATGTTTGCCAGGATATTGAGAAACTTCAGAGAAATTTTATTTGGGGGGACCTAGAATCGAAAAAGAAAGCCCACTATGTTGCCTGGGAGACTATGTGTCAACCTAAGGAGTGTGGGGGGCTTGGCATCATGAATCTGAGAGTGCAAAATGAGGCTTTTATGCAAAAGCTTGCATGGCAGATCATTAGAGACCAAGACAGCCTTTGGGCTAGAGTTCTATTAGCAAAATATGGCAGGAAACAGAACTCTAATCAGATCTGGACAGCTAAATTGCAGGACTCAACCCTTTGGAAAAATATCAGCTTGGCTAGACACAAGATGTCTAATCAGTTGGAGTGGGTGATAGGGAATGGGAAAACAGTGTCATTCTGGACTGACTTATGGGGGGGTTGGAAGGAGAATCTCTTTGAGGTTGCTTTTAATAAACCTCCCATGGCTGACCTTAGCCTTAAAGTTTGTGAGGTAGTGGACCAAGACAATGGTAACTGGAACTGGAATTACTTGGTTAAATTTCTGGATATATGTGTTTGCAGCAAGTTGAGAGTCATGGCTCCCCCTAGTCCTAATAGGCCTGATGACTGGCTCAATTGGAAGGTGGGAAGGCCAGGGAAGTCCATTGTTAGTGGAGCTTACTGCAATTTGCTGAAACCCAAAGGGACAAAGGATCGTATTTGGTCAGTAATATGGAAATGGAAAGGGCCTTATAGACTTGCCATTTTCCTCTGGCTGGCTTGCCTTAATAAACTTCCTGTGAGAAGCACAACATGTCGTTGGAGTGGTGGGGAGGCTCTTTGCCCCACCTGCCTCAATGACCAGGAAACTTTACTCCACACTTTGAGAGATTGCAAAGCTGCTAGAGATATTTGGGGAAAATGGTTTGCAGGTGCAATCCCTAGTAGTTTTTTATCAGCTGAAGGCTTAGATTGGTTCAGGATCAATTTGATCAAGCCTTTTTCTTCAAAACTCTGGCAATCTTGGCTTGAAATTTTCTTTGTAAATTGCTGGTTCCTTTGGTTCTGGAGGAATTCGACAATACATGAAGCATCCTTTGTCAGGCCATAAGACCCAATTCACAGAATCCTGTGCTATCTAGCTGAACTGAAAAGCAGCAATCCTGCTGACCCTTTTTCTTCTATGACTCATGTTGCCTCTCCTTTTGATTTTTCTAGCTTCTCTGCTCAGACCTGTGCACAGGATGGAGTCAGGATCTTTGTAGATGGGGCTGTCCATCTGCCTTCCCATATGGGAGCTTGTGGAGGTTTGGCTTGCTCCAAGGAAGCCGACTGGATTGGAGGCTTTTCTTTCAACATAGGAGTTTGCTCACGACAGAATGCAGAAACTGCATTTCGTGAAGATATCTTTCCAAGGTTGGGTTTTTACCGATTTTAAACACCTAAACATGCATTTCTAGGTGTGTTTGACCAACCCCAACATTTCTAGGTTCCATTTTTAAGCTCGAAGACTCAGAAAAAGGGTGCTCTTGGAGCTCACACAACAACTCCAAGGTTCTGACTTCAAGGGTGCACGAAAATACTCCCCAAGCAAGGGTCTTTCTTCACAAAGTTGGCTCCTTGGCGCTCCCACAACCAAGTAGGAAGCTCTCACCCTCACACAAGGCCACTCAGCCCACAAACTGTCTTCAAACAGCCCCTCAACTCAGAACCAAAGCTCTCTACACACTCACAAAGACCACTCACACAAGGCTCAAGTGTTTGGAGATGAAGAAACCAAGCAAAAGTGACACTTGATCTCCAAAATGGTGAAGAAAACTCAATAGAACAGTAGCAAGAACAGACCAGCCACCAAACTCTCGTAGAGAAACTGACTGCCTAGGGTTTTGTGCCCTTAATAAGGGTATTTATAGTCACTTACCCAATTAACACACAGTATTAACTTTAATTGCTACGCTTAGCATTTTAATCCCAAACTTTGGAATCTGAAACTACACATTTTTACAAGAATTATCATATTTTTCTTATAATTTTCTGAGCACCTTTCCGGTACGCGCTTTTCAAAGCCAGTACCGGTTTCTAGCACCAGTTCTCATTATTTGGACTTGAAACTCGTTTTACAAGTCCTACATATTATTCTAGTAATTATCATGCACCTATTATAATTTTCCGGGATACTTTTTCGGTACGCATTTATACTGACTAGCAGAACCGATATCTGCACTTTTCTTCCGAAAGGCGACTTTCAGCATTCTTACTCACTAATTATAATTATTAAAGCCTCATAATAATTATTAGGGTCAATTATGGAATTATTTTCTAATTTCACATAATTAATTAATTAAATCCCTTAATTAACGGTGCAGGTTCTTACACCTAGCAAATAAAAAGGCTATTCGTGATCCCTAAGAAATTAAAAATAGATCCATTTAGTTGAAATCGTGGTCCCTCACAAATTCAAAAAAGACCCACATTAATCTCTCAAAAGGACTAAAATGGGTCCACTTTAAATTTCTTAAGAACCACAAATAGCCTTTTTATTTGCTAGGGACTTTGCTAAGGACCGAAAATGATATTTACTCTATAAATAACGTAACAGAAATTGAAAAGCAGTATTCATGGAGACAAGGTAGAGGAAGAGCATGTAAAGTAAAATAAGATAATAAAGTAATCCTTCCATGTGATTTATATTTTAGAAAAAAAGAAAGAAGTTGTCCTCACTCTTAGTATTCACTCTTATCTTTTCTTATTATTAAGCTTCTCCACTTTCAATTTCTTTATTTTTCCCTCTCTCCCTTACTAGAGTTTTTTTTTTTCTAAATTTCCCAAAACCCTTCGTGAAGATATACGTGAATTTTCCCTCTCCTACTAACCTTGCTCCCTGAATTTCCATCTCACATATTCCTCTCGTAAAACGAAATTGCTGAAACGATATTAAAATCAGAAACAAATTAACGAGTATGCGTTGTCCTCTTAGAGCCACTTATGAGTAAAAGTTAAATAATTTGTATCACAACACATGACCTAAGACTGAGTTCCATAAATTGCTCATTTCTATGAGTCAACCCGTAAACTGGCTGAATGTGTTCAGTCATAAATTCAGAATTAGATCCCATAATCCATTAATAGAGAAATTTGAATTAAACATTGAAATCTGGGAAAGACACTTGTACATTCCAACCACGAAAGACTTGGCTCTTACTGTGTAACATGGCTAAGTTCCAAACAAAGGAATAAAAGAAACACAACATAAACATTACTATAAGCTGCTCCTGTTACAGTTCTTGAACGAAAGAAATGAAAATAAAATGAACTGCATAAATGTTCCAGAAAATGTAGAAATGCAGCTTGTAAAAATGTCAGAATGATGGTGGAGGATGAAGAGTGAATGAGGCGATCCTTCTTTTTAGCGTCTCTTCCTTTTCTTTTCTTTATATATATATATATATATATATATATCTCCGCTTCTTTCTTCAGCTTCTCACGTTTTCCTTCCATTGTGGTCTCCATGGTACCACTTTTTCCTTCCACTTCTAATCATTTCCTCTTTCCTCCACCCGAAATTTTAAAAATTAAAACAATGAAGTCGCCTTCAATTTTATTTACTTTGAAAAAATTGAAAAACCTTTTATTGCAAACTGGTTTTTAAAATTATAGATCAAAGGTTCGGACGTCTAATTATGCGCAAGAAAGGGTAGAAACTTAATCCCGCTGCACCCATGACACATCCATTTTAAAACGGTTACTTTAAGTTAATTGTGTGAATTATTAATAGCTTTTTAAAAATATTTGTTTTATCCCTTAAAATAAATATGATTATTTAAGAAGAATGAAGACTAAAATATTAAAATTTTATTTTAACTTGACGGAAAGAGTTCCGCTCCGACGTATCCTCCGGTACAGGGAGGAATTCAAAGCTACGTCATTCTTTATGTTTGCGTACTGATTATTTTGATTTAAACTTATAAGTTTTAGATTACCAAGCTGTCACAACTAAAATAATCTGAAATGATAATCGTAGGATTAACAAACTGTCTCAACTCAGCTAATCCTTTATTATGAAAAATAAGTAAATTTTATTTTAGCTCGACGGAAAGAGTTCCGCTCCACGAATCCTCCGATACAGTGAGGAATTCAAAGCTACGTCGTTCTTAAGAAAATATTTGTGTATTTATTGATTTTTAATTTTTATTTGGTTATATTCGATATTCTCGGGAGTGGGGGAGAATATTCGACGGAGAAGGGGTGCTTTCATGAGCAGCACGAGAATGAACGGAATTTGGTGTTGCTCTTTTGAAGGTTTGTGGAGTGGGGGAGTTTGATCTCTTCTCACAACGGCTACTATTTCAGTCTAAAAATACTTAGGGTAAGTGCATTTGGGTGTATAGCACGATCCTTCAATATCTCCAGCCTTCCATGCGAAGATTGATAACTAAATTATTGCTACTGCTTTTATCTGCTAAAAAGTACGTAGCTTCAACAATCTCTGATAAATTTGGGCAGATACAACTTATGAAGAAAGTTCTATCCAAAGAACAAGTTCTATCAAAACAATACGCTAGTCTTACTCTGATGTACATGACGTGATGGGTTTGATTCACATTCCCTTTTCTCAACTTTGTTAGGCCTCTTACAAAAACAAAAAACAAAAACCCATTCACCATAAAACTCGACCTGCGCGAGTCCCTAGAGGTGAGAGAAATATTTGTACGCAACCTTACCTATATAATTTTGCAAAGAGAATCTTTTCCGAATTTGAATCCATAACCTCAAGGGCATTGACAAAGGAGCAGTTTTAGTATTGCTTGAGGTTCACCCTCTCAACTTTGTATGGCCTCTAGTAAATGGGAGAAAAAAACACCATCAACAATATAATAATAATTATGACCAATAACATAATTGCAAAACAGAGGGCCTAGGAAACAATATTTGGTACGTTAACTACATGCTAGCAAGGTAGAGATTACAAGCAGCTAAGATTAATTTGCTGCAGGCAATTCTAGTTTCAAGTGCACCTTGAGAAATTTCTTAAAGCTATCCTCAGTGTTTCCTCTATAGGGCAGAACCTTCAATGTAGAACAGAGAACAAAAACTCTAAATGGATATAATTGCTTAAGAATCTCTGGATCCCTATCATAATCCTGCCAAGACGAAAATTTAATTAAGGGGTTACAAGTGAATCAAGATACAAACATATATATGTAACTAAATAAATCAACAAAAAAAAAAAAATGAAGACTATCTCTACTTGCCTTTTCAGTTATCACAACAATTGGTTTGGAACAAAACTTTCCCTCTAGTTCTCTAAGTCTGGCTCTGATCATATCAATATCCTGGATTAATTGAAAATATGAGATTAACATCCTAGTCAATGTAAAAAAAAAACATATGAGAAAATTTAAAATAAAATAATATACAAATAAATAAAAGTAGGCCGCACTTTGTACGATCCTGACAGAAATGTGGCAATGAAGGTGTACCCTAGGAGTGGCCACAGGGAATTGAAATTGGCATAACCAATCAGTTAGAAGAAAGAGGTGGTGGAATCTGATGAGTGGGATTCTGTTAGGCTGATGCGATTCAGCCCCTAAAAGTATACAAGAGGCATAAAGGAAGGAAAAGGTGGGTCCCCAATGATGACTCAGCTAAGTTGTTGCAACCATCATCTCTAACAGAATGGAAGGTGGTTTAAAAGATCAGGGGAGTAGGGAAGTGGGGTAACTTGGAACCTTGACTGGGATTTGGATCTGGGAGAGAGTAGAGCCTCTCAAATTGCTCTACATTGTTAAATATTGAATTCTGGTTCTGTAATATTTTCCGTTACTGTTTATAGGAGTTTAAAGGGAGCGAACTGGAGCAGTGATAAAATTGTTCCTTCATGACTGAAAAGTCATAGGTTCGAATCTAGGAAATAGCCTCTTTGCAATTATGCAAGGGTAAGACTGCGTACAAGGATTTCCTCCACCCCACACTCGCTAGTCGGATTTAACGGGGAGTGATTTTGGTTTTGCACTGTTTATAGGAGTTTTCTTGTAATAGTCATTAGACTCCTTGTAATTCTAAGTTGAGGTGTCTGTTACCAACCAAGAAAAATTCCAGACCAAATCACAGAACAGGAGCAAGAAGATTACCAAGAAAACACTAGGATTTCTACTAATATAGGTCAAAGAATTTACAAGGTTAGAAGACATTTTCAAGGGGAACAAACCTTTACACATATTGAGCACTCTCAGTGGTCAATTAAAAGTTTACAACTGAATACCCACAAAAGACAACTTCCTCTGTTTTTATACACAAGGACTATTACTAATTACACTTGACTTTTTCCTAATTAACTCTTGTGTCCCTGGGTACACTTTCCATGCTTTAGGCTTACTTGAATTCCCTAGCCACGTCCATAACAATATCTCCCTGGGGTTGAACAACCTTGTCCCCAAGGTTGAATGATGGAAATTGATGCTGTATGGCATCCCTATTCTCCTAAGAAGCTTCTTCATGTGGTCTGCTTTCCCACTGAATCAGAATTTGATCCACCTCTTGACCCTATTGCAGAATTTTCCTAGAAGCCACCACTCTAGCACGATAATATAGATCAGCCGCCACTTGTAAATCAGGGGGAGGTTGATCCTCAACACGATGGTCTCCAATGGCTCTTTTAAGCTGAGAGACATGGAATACCGGATGTACTCGGGATTGGTCAGGCAACTGAAGTTGTAAGGCCACTGCTCCCACTTGTTTGTTCATCAAAAAAGGCCTACAATAACGTGCAGTAAGTTTGGGATACAGTTTGGTAGGCATAAACTGCTGTGTATGTGGTCTGACTTTTAGATAGACCTAATCTCCGACCTTAATCAGTGAAGGACTCCTATGTAAGATAGCCTTTTTGGTCATGTGATCTAGAGCCCGAGAAAAGGTGGAACTTGAGCTGTTTTAAGGCTTCATCCATGTCCATTAAATCCCTTGCCACCACTTTGATTATTGTATTCCCTGCAATAAATCTACTGAGGCTAGGAGGGGCTCTCCCATACACCACTTCGGCAGAATTGTGAAAACTGGTATTGTACCAGTACTCTGCCCAAGGCAAGAATTTCCCCCACACTTATAGGCTGTTTTGAACAGAAACAACGAAGGTAAGTTTCAAAAGTACTGTTGAGTACCTTTGTCTGTCCATACATATCTGGGTGATACGTCGTGCTGAACTTTAACACTGTTCCTTGCAACCTGAAAATTTCCTTCCAAAAACTGCTAAGGAATGTTGGGTCCAGATCATTGACAATCGGTTTCCCTAAAAATATCTCAACAATGCTCCTTGCCGAATATGGGTGCTTCACCGTTAAGAAATGCCCATACTTAATCTGTCCACAACCACCAAAATTGTGTTGTACCCCTTGTACTTTGGCAAACCCACTATATTGTTAAAGACTTCTACTCAAAAATGCTAATAATACGAACAGGAACAACAATTTGATCTGAATAACTTCAATTTCCTTATATATTGATCAAGACAAATTACAGAAGTTTTGAAACAAGCAATCTACAGTGATCATGGCAGGAAATTAAAGGATTACAATAACTGAGAATTAACAAGCAAGAAAATAAAGATAGTGTGAAGCAGATATGAGAGGCTTCACTCTCTCCCAATCCCCAAAGGGCCCAATCAATTCTTATCCGATACCCATCCATGCTTCCATCCTCTGCTTATAACGGCTTCCAAGCCACCCTTCTTTGTGCACCATTCTGTTAAGGGGTATTTTGGGAATCCCTTATCTGACGTGGCAATCCTTGCGTGTCCTCCTTCGGTGCTGTATTCAATTGGGCTGTTTGGGCCTGAGTCCACACTCTTCTATTGCTATCTCTTTTATATTTCTTGATGGGAATTGTATCAATACTCCCCCCCATTTGGAGAACCTTGTCCTCAAGGTTAAAATGTGGAAATTGCTGATTAATAACATGAAACTCCTCCCATGTATTTTCAAAATCTGGTAACTGCTTCCATTTAATTAACACTTGAAGGGACCCCTGTATTGACCGCCTAATGTCCACCAGTGCCACAGGCTCCACCACTAATTCCCAATCTTCCGTCAACATAGGGGGCAGGGGCTGAACAGTAGTCCCAGGCTTCAGAGCCTTTTTTAATAAGCTCACATGGAATACTGGATGAACCTTCCAATCCCTAGGTAAATGTAATCTGTAAGCTGCTGCCCCTATGCATTCCAAAACCTGATATAAGCGGGGACTCAACTTTTCATTGATTTTCTGGGCAAGTGTTTTAAGACGATAAGGTTGGATTTTGAGATAAACCCAATCACCCACATCAAAATGAAGATCCCTACGCTGTTGGTCTGCATACTGTTTCATACGGTTCTGGGCTTTGAGCAAGTGTTGTTGCAAGTCTTGTAAAATATTATCCCTTTCCATTAACGATTGTGACACAGCATCCACTGCTGGAATAAATGTGCCACACTTAAACAGAGTGGGAGGATCCCTTCCGTACAACCCCTTAAAAGGAGTCATGCTAGTAGCATCTTTAAACGTTGTGTTGTACCAGAATTCAGCCCAGGGCATCCACTTAGGCCATTGGTTGGGCCGTGTACAACTGAAACAACATAAATAGGCTTCTAAACATCGGTTCACGACCTCCGTCTGACCGTTGGTTTGTGGGTGATATGCGGTGCTGTAGTGTAATTTGGTGCTTGCACTCTTAAATATTTCTGCCCAGAAATTACTCAAAAAAAGTAAATCTCGGTCAGACACAATAGTAGCAGGGAACCCATGGAGTCGTACTACTTCTTTAACAAATAAATCAGCAACCTGTTTTGCTATGTATGGGTGCTTCAAAGTCAGAAAATGGGCATATTTCGTGAAACGGTCCACTACCACCAATACCGTATCAACTCCCAATGTTTTGGGCAAACCACCAACAAAATCTAACGAGATATCCTCCCAAACAGTAGAAGGGATTGGTAAGGGCTGGAGAAGCCCAGCTGGGCTTAAATTTTGGGTCTTACACTGTTGACATACACTGCAGCCCGCCACATATTTTTTTATGTCCTTCTTCATGCCATCCCAATATACAACACCAGCTAGCCGCTTATAGGTGCGGAAGTACCCAGAATGTCCCCCAATGCCTGTGTTGTGATACTCATCCAACAAAGAGGAAATAAATTTCGAAGTCTTGGGTATGACCAACCTGTTGTTGTAGAATAACTTCCCTTCACACACTTTAAATCCCGGATGAGCATTAGGGGCTATCAACAAGTCCTGCACAATGCCTTTAAGCCTATCATCTTGCTGGATTTCAGTCTCCAATTCATCAAAATGAGACCATTGAATCCGGGATACAGCCATATAAAACATTTTCCTGGAGAGAGCATCCGCTACTTGATTTTCCTTTCCGGGCTGGTATTGGATTTCAAAGTCAAACCCGAGTAATTTGGAGACCCATTTCTGCTGTTCTTCACTTAACACCTGCTGCTCAGTAAGAAATCGGAGGCTACGTTGGTCTGTCTTGATGATAAAATGTCTTCCCAGCAAGTAATGTCTCCATTTTTGCACTGCAAAGACTATAGCCATCAATTCTTTTTCATAAATGGACTTGGCTTGGGCTCTGGTGGAAAAACCTTGACTAATATAAGCGATGGGTCTATTATCTTGTGTAAGTACAGCACCAATACCCTTCCCTGATGCATCAGTAGTTACAGTAAAATTTTTTGGAAATTTGGCAATGCTAGGACAGGCACCGAGCTCATCCTAGCCTTAAGCAACTGAAAGGTGCTTTCCGCTTCCTCACTCCACCGGAAACCATCTTTTTTAAGCAACTTTGTAAGAGGTTTGGCGATCTTGCCATAGTCTTTTACAAACTTTCGATAATACCCAGTCAGCCCAAGGAATCCCCTCAAGCCCTTGATGTTGGTTGGACTAGGCCATGATATCATGGCTTGGATTTTTTCTGGGTCTGCCTTAACCCCCTCAGCTGACACACAGTGACCCAGATACTCTATCTGTCTTCTTCCAAAGCTGCATTTTTTTTTATTAGCTACCAACCTGTTATCTCGTAATACTGTAAAAATGGCCCTTAAATGAGTGAGATGTTCCCTACAGCTGTTGCTGTAGATTAGGATATCATCAACAAAAACCAGTGCAAATTTCCTTAAAAAAGGTCTCAGTATCTCGTTCATCAGTGCCTGAAAGGTAGATGGGGCATTGGTAAGCCCGAAGGGCATCACTAAGTATTCGTAATGCCCCTCATGAGTTCTGAAACCTGTTTTTGGGATATCTTCTTCCCGCATCCTGATTTGGTGGTAGCCAGATTTCAAATCTAGCTTGGAATATA